GCCCAAGGTGCACGCTAGTATCCCACCACTTCCAGGTCCCAGCTCCTGTACACAGCCAAACACAGGGTTAACCCAGCAGTTACTACACCCACAATAGCAATGCCCTTCCCAGCACTCTAGCTGTTTGCAATGGAGTTGATTCCATACATAATAATCCAACAGTAAATATTTACATAAATTTATATACACACACACTAAATACAATACACACCATCAACCACTTAATTTAATTAAAACTAACTCACTCACCCTTGCACTGGCGCCAAGCATTCATACCACACTCACAAGCACACCTTATGTTAAAAATAAGCTTTCGCTAACATACACGCACACACACTAATATTCACTATTGCGCTTCAAGATCTAGTATTGCACGTAATTCTCCTCAAAATGGGGATTTCCAGGGATAAACACGCTTTCGAAATCAAACTACTATTGCACTTCGCACATAACCTGTATTGCACATGTCCCAACGGCAGCGTCCCCCTCTGGGAAAATGAGCCACTCGGTGAACGGAATCGCACGCCAACCCGGAAGACTCCAAAAGACGGCGACTGAAGGTGAGGATGGAGTGTAGTGTTCTCGGAGGAAAATGATTCGGGGAAGAAAAGAGCAGATCCAAGTCATCCGCACTGCTCTCCAGCAGTGCTCACGAAAACGGCCAATGGACACAGAACGCACACACTATTTACTCCAATTGCAGAGAGTCATCCGTGCACGGAGAGCTCCTCCAGCACTGAGTGCTCACGGAGCACAACGAGCTGCGAGCGCACAAAGGCAGCTCCAATCGCGACCAAAGCTTGTAGGGCCTGAACGCCGCACCGGAACGAGCGCGGTCAGCTGGAAATGACGCATCACCCAAACACTCTCAGAACGCCCTAAATACTAACGCGCTGCTCTGCGATAGGGCAGCGCAACTGTCACTCACTGTTTAATAATCAGACGCCGACCTATGACAGGACACCGTCATTCATACGGTTACATCAACATCCTCATCTCTGCTACTTCCATCTCTGCCTCTTGTCTCTTCTTTACTGCCACAGTCTCCAACCCATACATCATAGCTGGTCTCACTACTGTTCTGTACACCTTTCCTTTGATTCTTGCTGACACTCTTCTGTCACACAACACCCCTGACACTTTTCTCCACCCACTCCAACCTGCCTGCACTCGTCTCTTCACCTCTTTTCCACACTCCCCGTCACACTGGACTGTTGACCCCAAATACCTAAACTCCTGCACCTTCTTGACCTCAGCCCCCTGTAACCTCACTGTTCTATTTCCCTCCCTCTCGTTCAAACACATGTATTCTGTCTTGCTGCGACTGACTTTCATTCCTCTTTTTTTCTAGAGCAGACCTCCAACTTTCCAGGTGTTCCTCCATCTGCTCTCTGCTCTCACTACAGATCACAATGTCATCTGCAAACCTCATCTGTCAACCTGTCCATCACCATAGCAAATAAGAAGGAATTAAAAGCCGATCCTTGATGTAGCCCCACCTCCACCTTAAACTCCTCTGTCTGACCTACAGCACATCTCACTGCTGTCTTACTCCTCTCATACCTGCTTGTTTGGTTTTTGGCATGTTTTACGCTTGATGCCCTTCCTGACGCAATCCTCTCTATTTATCCGGGCTTGGGCATGGCACAGAAGTCACTGGCTTGAAACCCCTTAAATCAACACATTGTTAATATGATAAATGCTAAAAAAAAGAATAAAACACATGCAAATTACATAATATGTCCATAAATGTGAAACCTTACCTTGCAAGTGAGGCAACGTGTAGAAGGAGATGGCAAGAAACTTTACAGCACTACGTACGAGTACGATCTGACCAATAGGAGAGCAGAAATGTTTTTGTTTTTCGTGTGTCACATTCTATCAATAAAAATTAATTTGTGTGGTCCCAACTTCTCTTAATTTCTATAATTTCTCTTGGCTGAAAAACTTTGTGTCATTGTCCTACAATATTCAATATTAAAGCCTCAATGCACTGTCATGTAAACATCTCTCCAAGGCCTTCAGTGACAGAATAGATAGCTTCATTTACAGTGGCAAATATAAGAAAACATCAGTATTTCTCCGTCCTCTGATAATCACTATTAACATGGTAAGGTCTACAAACATGAATACATTTGTTTTTGAATTCGATAATGTAATTCATTTTACATTTATGACAGAAAAAGTAAAACTGAGCTCCAATTGCTGCTGTTCAACCAGATGACTTTTAGTACTTCTGTAAAGAATGTCTGGATATAACCTCATTGTGTGAATCTTGGGCGTTCTGATATGCAAATCTTCCTGCATGAAAATGAGTGTGTAGTATTTTATTTACAACTTGGCAGGCTTATTCTCAAGGTGTGACACTTGAAGTTTGAGCAATCTACCTGTGTTTCTGGCTTTTTAAGCATCTCTGTATAATTCCATCTCTACATTTACACAGAGTATTGACTTGAACTGCAAAGTATTGGCAGTTATTAAAACATGGAAAGTGAGAAACGTCCCTACTGCAGGCTCGGCAGCAAAAGCACAATGCACTGTAAAAAACCTCCTGTTCAACTTTCACCATCTCTGGAGTGCTAACATTATACAAAGAACTCCATGCTCTCACTGATCAAAGAGGTGTTTTGAATTGATATAATATGGCTGTAATGAAAGCCCCTTGTCATGAGCCATCTTGATCTCACTCGGGAGGTATGTAGATGTATGCCAAGATGATGAGTGATGTGAAGTTGATTTTCCCAGGTGTCATGGACACACATGGGCATTGAGGAGAGATCTAAGGGAAGCAGAGAGGTTAATCTTTTCTTATTAGCCTGCTATTAGCTCAAGAACAGGCCAGAGGCAGAAAAGGTTGAAGTTTTCAGATTTCACACTGTCAGTTAAGACAGGTCAAGTCAGCTTAGTGTATTAGTGCTTTACACATCGCAACGCTGAATAAATAGCTTGACAATAAAAAAATAACATAAAAAGACAAGATCAACATTTTCACCTTTGGGAGATTTTACCAAAAGTGATAAACTGTTCAAGGAAGTTCTTCCCTGTGTTAAACTCATTATCTTTGGCCGTACTTTACCGTCTGAGCACTTTCTAAGTAGAAGTGAACTCATACATCTAGACTTTATATAATTATTGAGATCTTGGCACGTTCCTTGTTCAAAGAGTGACATGGCTTTTTCTAAAAAAAAACCCAAAGCATATTTTTACTCTTTTACAATGTACTTCTGATATTTCGATGTTAGAAAGAAACATCATTTAATTTGGCATGCAAATCCCACTTGTTATGATAGCATATCAAACCATTTTGTCTTTCTGTTTCATTTTCTAATTCTATTGAATATTTTATTTTATTTAATTTTATTTTTTTTACACCATTTTCCCTTTGACATTTGATTTTTTTTCTCCCGATATGGTCAACCAACTTTAAACTACTAATAATGTAATTTTAAACCTCAACAACAAAAGCAAGGATTGGTTTTGCGGTTTGGCCCTAATGGAATTGTCTCTCCAGGCATTGTTTGGTTATACCAGGGTGACCATATTTCTGATTCCCAAAAAAAAGGTCAGTCGGCACGGCCTCGAGACACAAATTCAGACAGGCTTCTCGAAGGTTGATGAACCTGCTTTTTTCTGCTTCAATGGTGCAAAAAAAAACTTAATAAATAATATGAAATATGTAAATAAAGTAAATGAAATAATGTTCTAAAAATGAACTTTCCTGTTAGAAAATCCAGCTTCAATAAATTTTCTCTATAGTAACTGTAATATGAGAAATAATAGAAGAGTCTCACAAAGATACTGACTTCACAAACATAAAGGATCTTTACTTTTTATCTTTAGTTGTCTTCTTCATCCTGTGAGAAGCAGACCCGTCCACAAGGCAGCCGTATTGTGTGGAAAGCACCGTTCAATTTACATACACTCATAATGGTCCCATGAAAAAGAGTGAACACTGGACCTTTTCCCGCACGGACTGGATGTAAAAAGTGGACTTGTCCGGGCAAAAAAGGATGATTGGTTACCCTGGTTATACTGTTGGAAGCTTGGCTTAAGGAGAGCTCAAAAGGTGCATAAACCAGCTTTATTGCATCTGCTATACTGATTTAAAAATTTTAATGATTTGGAAGTACTACCCAAGGTATAATTTGTTCAGATTATTTGTTTGGTATGTTTTGTCGCTCAGTGATTAAAAAAAAACCCTATTTGGTATACATTTCAGAAATATAAAACCTTTAGCTAGGTCTTAAAATAAATGTTAAAATCTGTAGCAACTATTAATTATTAATATTTCAGAAGTGGTAGTAATCAGTTTTAGCAACCAGTTGCAATGACACACACAAGCTTTATTATATTTTTAATGGTTAGTTAGGGTGTGAATTGGGACCAGTTTCACCAGGAGGATGAAGTCTTTCAGCAGAGCGTTCAGTGAACCGCAAGTAAGTGAATCCACAGATCTCAGGAGGATAGAAGATGTTGCAGCCAGACACAGAATCAATGAGGTAAGCATAAGATACAAATATTCCAGAGAAAATGATTGGTCCATTTTGGGATCTCAGATAAGGCTTGTTAGGGTAGATTAATGAGAGCTTTTGTCTCAGAGCCGTGGACTGGTTCCCTGAGACTAATAAACATCAAGGTAAAAGCTAAAAAAAAAAGAGTTTTGAGGACCCTAAAAAGATCTACGTTTTGCAAAGAAAAGTGCTCAACTTTAATTTGTTTGGATATTTTATTTTTGTAATAACTGATAGCTCCAACTCAACAATAAAAATTTTTCTGAAGTGAACAAAACTGTATCTTTCTGGAATCTAGGTCATAGCCATGCTACACTTACCAATCATCATCTCTTTCCTGGAATTCTACGCTCAAGCATTCATTTTCAATTTGGGTGACATCTGAAATGCATGTTTGATAAAGGAAAGTCTGAATTCTGTAACCCTAAAGTTGTATGTCTTTACTTGTACAACTGTTTATATTTTGCTTGGCAGTTGCATATATTATTTTTTCCTGTGACTCAGTTGGTAAAGCATTGCGCTAACAACGCAAAGTTAATGGGTTCATGTCCCAGAGAAAGCAAGAACTGTGCTCATTCTTTCAAATGTAAGTCACTTTGGATAAAAGTGTCTGCCAAATGCATAAATGTAAATGGCATTCAAACAATTACATTGAAAAGGATTACATTGGTAGGAGTCATAGATATGTACATGTAGGGCGCTTTGTTAAAAAGTTGGCACCAATTCTAATAAATTAAAAGTCACTCTGTGGCTTTCTGGAAAAGGTGTTGGGCAGGCCAGACGAGTGTGGCTCCAGGTAGTGTACTGGGAGTACTCCGGGGTGCCTTCACCCGCACTTAGTCCAGAGGCGTGTGGGATTTTGTTGTGCTGGTCCATCCAATGGATGCATTTTTCTGTAAACAAAAGCTCTAGCATGTCAACGAGCTCACTAGCTCCCCACAATTCCGTTATTTCTTTATTTGTAAAATGTAGTGTGCACTAAAGGACCCCAACATTGCTTCAAATCAAAAACATAACGAAAAACAACCTTGCACACACAACACTCAAAAATGGTAATTAAAAAAATTAAATATTTTGTGTTTTTGATTTGCAATAGTGTTGGGCGTGCAATGTTGAATTGAATTGAGCACTAACGCATTTTATCCACTGAGAAATGGAAGTCAGCCTTATACTTTCCCAGGAAAAAAAATCTGGTGAGGGTCAGTGATGGGTCAACTCTATACCCATGTCCTCATCAGCACTCCATTAACAGTCTATGCGTACGTGTGTGCAGGGTCAGCAATAGGCCATGTCTAAACCAAAAGCCGCTGTGGTCAAACGCAGGTCACTAGACTCATTAACGTGTGCTCAATCTCAAAATTGTAATATGCTTAACAACTATGGTTATGCAATAGCCAACAGCACTCTCAAAACATGTTTTAAATGTTGCTGACAGTAAATCCATATGGTAAATGCCTTCAGAGATCTCTAAAGAGTTCAGACCTGACTGGCCTCTGCAGGCTGCGTGGTCAGGTTAAACTGCTGAACTTGTGCTGAACATTTTTACGGCACTGCCACCAACCTTGCTGTGCCTGTAAATCTGACAGAAAATTTGTTTGGCCTTTGACCCATGGGTGTCCCTCATGAGGCTCATGCAGCCAGGGTCTGTAAAAGCTATCACAGAGAGGAACTCTCTCTCTCTCTCTCTCTCTCTCTCTCTCTAATGAGAGACTGGGACTGTTTGACTTGAGCTGTAAATCTGGATCCCCCCTCTTGCACACATACAAATACATGCACACATCACCACTATCCTCTGGCAGAATTTCACAGGCCTCGGTGCTCTGAAATAATGACTTGTGTTCTCACAGTAAATACTGGCTGTAGCTCTGTTGTGGTGAGTTTTGCACTTTTCACCCTGTTCTCATTAGAAAAAACGACAGCGAGATGAGGGAGGGGATGAAACAGTTTGTTTGAAGAGGTCAAGAGGTCATATTTTTGGAAGCCTGCAGCCACGATTTTGGGGTCAGAGAAATTGGTTAATTTTTAACAACTGTTGCGGTAACTCCAATTGTGTTGTCATAATGCCAGTTAGAGCGCTTGACCTCTGATCTGTGCGCTCGATAGAAAGGGCAGGTTTCTGTCTAAATAGGAAGTGGCTTTTTACAATCAGAGCCAATGTTTAGTGTATTTTTCATAGACTGGGCTCATAAACTTTGGTGTTATGGGAAGCAATGCGGCATTTGTAAGCGCTCACTGCATGCAATGTTAACTGTGGTCATAAATTTCAGAGAAAAATATACAAAAGGATTTCGAGGCCATGTACAGGATGGAACTTTGTTGTGTGGGCAAAGGTCTCTGACCTTGATGCTGAGTGTTCTTCCAAAAGCACACACTCTTTGGATTGACAGAGATTTTACTGAAAATGACCCTTGTTTTACAGTGGTGGGAAATAGTTTTCTCACACATGTCTGGAGCAAAGTGACACATGTATAAAATTTCTCCTTTTTCCCCACGCCTGATATGTACTTTTGTTACTGTTGATAATGTGTTTTAACTTCCTGCCATGTAAGGCTGAAAACAACAGTCGTTCATGTCAATCTTTGATATCAAATCTTTTGGAATTAATTAACACATTGCTTCTAAATACACTCCGTTCTTTGTTGGTTTTAGCTTCAGTTTCACATCTCAGAGTTTTGACTAAGCCCTCAGCCTTTTCGATTTCGCTTTTCGAAAGTTCTCAGTGCGATGGTAAAAGTTACATTTGTCATTCTGGCACAAATCTCCCATGGGGGTGGGGATGACAGTAGTTCACACTCATTGGCTATTAAACTTTTGATTGGCACCTCTTTTCATTATTTTCCCTATTTCGGTTTTATTTTTCATACCAGTTTTGTAGAACCATCCTTGTGGAGGTTACCAGTCTATGCAAGAACATTATTATAATGGCCATTGAAAACAACTAAACCAAAACAAGGCTGTGGAAATATCATCAGAGAGAAATGGGGATTTGATTAGGTTAATCATAAGAACATATAACAATTTTCACTGACAGCTCCTTAGCAACCAATTTGTTTACCCTAGCAACTCAGGTTTGGTAAATGATAGAGATGCGGGGGTTTGTTTATTTTACTCATAGAGACATGAGAAACATTACATTTACATTTATACAACCCACATCCTCTACCAACTGAGCCGCAGGAAAGCTGTGACATTATAGTATGTCACTGACCCCTCCATAGCTACCAGGTTTTTACCATAGCAACCAACTTGGCATATCTATATCTTTGGCTCAGGAAAATTAATGAGAAATGAGGGTTTGATTATGTCACTCATTGTGATATTGGCTTTAAACTGCACTTTTACAAGCCAACATCAAACCATTTAGTTACAATTGTCATTGAAAAAAAACTAGCTAGGCTTTCTTTACAATACTACCTAATATCATTACCATTTCAAATTCTCATAATCAACACAAAATAATTGGCCAAATATAATTTCATTGTAAATCCTGTAAAAAGGCAATTTCAATCACCACAGAGATGACTATACTTTTGCATTTAGCATTGACCTTAACCCTAATGATGAAAGTCCAACTTACCAGACACTTCTGTTTCTGTAGAATGGTGTCCATGAATAAAGTAGGCTTTTTGCCAGCCCGTAGGTACTGTGATGTCATGTGCAAATATCACTTTTTACTGGAGTTTCCTCAGTAAATGATCCTAGAACAGATTAACATTTAAGAAATGGTAATTTAAACTAAACTACTTGTTTAGCCACTTAAGTTTGAGGCTGTTTAGATCCTGAACCATGATTTACAATCCACTGAATTGCCAGCACATTATTATAAGAAATATCCGGTGTACTTCCAGGAGCTTGCATGCTCCTACTTTCACCCCGTGTAACCTTGAATCTGTCAAACGGCTATCATTTTTGACAGACAATAACATTTCCTGGCTCATTTGAGGATGGATGTGCTTGGGTGGTCAGGGACTTCTGTGAATCTTACTCCAGTAATCTGTAGAATGCTGGACCGCAGGCTGCACGAAACCGCTGACAGGGCTCAGGAACCAAATTCGGTTCCTAACCAGTCCAAACCAGAAACTGAGCCCAACGGCAGCAGTATTTGTTGACCTAAGTAATTCTGATATGGATTATTGTAATGCAGTAAGACAGGAACCCATACAGTTCTTATATAAGAAACACATTTCAACCTAATATTGTGACTGTTTTGAAGACAAACCTATAGTACCTTAGTAAAGGGCCATTTGGTCATTAGAAGTTTACTTGAGTAGACACTGTAGTGACCTTTGTAAAGTCAACTGGAAAGTGGTTGAGATCAGGTCATGGGTAAAATGAGATTTGTAATGAGCTTGTTTAAAGATGAAATAGTAAGAATTCCCATGGCTTGGTGTTATTTGACGGGCGTTTGTTCCATCTCCTGACATTTGACATTTTGCTATATTGTTTTGAGTGCCTTGGTGATGAGTGAAAAAAAAAACGCTAAATGGAAAGGTCAACAAAGAAACAAAGAGAAGTCTGATGAGGAAAGCAGTAAAGTGACATCACACCCCCACAAGGGTTTTGCAGTCCTGTTAAAATGACAAGAAAGAAAGAAAGAAAGAAAGAAAGAAAGAAAGAAAGAAAGAAAGAAAGAAAGAAAGAAAGAAAGAAAGAAAGAAAGAAAGAAAGAAAGAAAGAAAGAAGAGAAAGAAAGAAAGAAAGAAAGAAAGAAAGAAAGAAAGAAAGAAAGAAAGAAAGAAAGAAAGAAAGAACGAAAGAAAGAACGAAAGAAAGAAAGTCTTTCTGGGCCCCACTTACTGTCAGAGAGTTTCTTATAAAAGCTCCATCCACAAATGAATGGTTAAAAGTGCTACCATGTGGCATAGTCTGGTGACATCTCCTTTGCTAAGCCACAAAAAGTAAAACATGCTTATGTGCTAGATCTAGTTAACTCTCCAGCATCTCACAAACAACAATGCATAGCGTTGGAAAACATCACAGATCTTGTACTTCCAAGGGTTATCTCTTCTTTGTACATCTAGATGGCACTGATGGCACCGATTTTGGGTCTGTGCAAAGAAACTGAAAGACAGTTTTCATTTTAAATTATGTGTCATAACTTCAAAAATGTTCAGGTTAAAGCAAAATAAAACATTTACATTAATAACCTAATCATATATTTGGAATCAAAATTAAACAATAAATGGGTCGTGTCTTTCCTACTCAATTCAAACAACCCACAGAGACTTCTAAGGGTTAAAATTCTTAAGTTATTATTCTGCAGTAAGAAACCTCAATTCAATCCAAACTTTACTGAGTGAAACATTTTGAACCCTTCACCCTGAAATGATTCAAACAAACCGATGAAGAGGCACAGAAAACAGAAATGCCACAGGCTTTTATTTTCTGTGATGGGTCTCCCATGATGGCTTTCCCTTACCCCTCACTCTAAAACTCTGAATTGGTTATATATCCAATAAACTTAGCAAAGACCCAAGGTTTCTGGTACAAACAAATAAATATATATTCTTTTAATAGTGTTTGTACAATGTGACAAAATTGGCAGAAACACATGGATTG